ATAAAAAGTGACATATACAGTCAGTCACTGGTTGCTCCCATGACAGTGTGGGATTCATCTCACCTATCTGCCACCCACTGCACCATGTAAGCTCTGGTTATCAAATTATCTGCTGCTGTCTGGGCAGGAAGACAGCAAATTCCAGTAAGCAATTCATTTCCCCTGTCTGTCTCAAATGCCTGTGTTCACAGGGGATGCATCAGTCCCTCCTGCTCAAACAACCAGGTTAAAGAACTAGCATGTACTAGACAAATAACTTATGCACATTATGTATTGGAACCACCATTTTCCCTTGTGCCTGCAGGTTGGAATTTCATTGCAGATCATAAGGAGCTTCTCCACAGGCAGGTTTTGGGTGTTCCCTCCTCCTACACATCAGAGGCTCTGCCCTGTGCAAAACATTACTCAGGATCCCTCTCTCTTTGGTAATATTTCCCCAGAGTTTCACAATGATCAAATGTTACCCAGAAGCACAATTCAAGCATTTTAGATTTTTTTAAGTAGCTATTTTATTACTTTCTAAAAACACTCATTATCTCAGTTCATTTTTTTTTAGTACTGTGGTCATTTTATTTAACATTTTCCATGTCACCCACTGCTGTTTTTTAAACTGTAAATGATTCAGTGACATCACTCTTTACTCCACTGCACAAGGCCAGTGAGTTCTGCATAATACAAGTGGCATTACTTGACAAACAACAGTTGTGGTCAAACCAGTTATAGATTTTGTGGTAGCTTGCACAGGATGCTTTTTCATAATCATCTTTCTCATTAAGAACTTCAACCACCAGTGATGGGAAGCAGCAATATGGCACCTATTTCTGTACTTTCTAACAGTATATTCCCACTTATCCATTCTTTATGGAAAGGTAAATAAAATTCCAGACAAACTTTACATTTTGCCTTGTAAACAAGACTATAACAAGGTTTTATTGTGTTATTCGTAAGTACACAATGTTCCACAAAAGAAAAGAGTATTTTGAACAGATTCTCACAATCCTTTTGACTTGTGTTTGTAGATGTTGCAGGAAGCCAAAAAGAAATAAATGAGAAACAACAAAATATTTAAAAATATTTATAACATTTCCCTGGAGTGCTAATCAGTGTTTTCAAAAGGTTGTTAGAAATTTGAATGTTTGAAAAAAAAAAAAGTAACTTAGAAAAGTAAAATATTAGCTTAATTCCACCCATTTATGGATAATCCATGTGCAACATTTTAGCTCATCTCCACTTCTAATGCGGAGCTTGAAAAATTCAAATTGTAATACAACACATTGTATGTTACATATCAAAGGCTAAAAATACTAGTAAAAGAAAATAGACTTTGTATATGGCATTTATTTCACCTTAGCTTTGTTTCATGAAAATATGTTCAATGAAGATACAAAATGTTAGTGGAATTACACCTCTACCCAAACAAGATGATACTGACAGAAGTTGTGTTTGAAATACTTCAAGGGTTTGGAAACAGTATTTTCATATTGCACAGTTTTAATGTCAATACAGTGTCTAACAGTACACAATACTCAAGAGTCATAAAATAGTAAGATTTTTAGTCATCAGTGGTGCTTGAAAAACAATCAAGTGTATTAGGCAAGGGGGAAATTTAGAGGTGGTTGAAAAAATGAGATAAATGCCTCCTCTCACACACTAGTGAGCTGTGCTGCCTCTTGTCCCAGGTACACATCACTCAGGACTGCCGAGAGATGCACGGAGCCACTGCTTTTTGCTGTTGGTTTTTTTCTTTCCATGAACAGCACAGCTATTGGTTGTTTCCACATAAGAGATACCTTCCAGTTAAGGGACACCTTCCTAGGATTTCATTTGCAGAACCTGCCAGACAGTGTCTCAGATGTGGTGTAGGTGAAATCACACACACCGAACACTGTCCCTCCCAGAGATGGACTGAAATGCCACTTTGGTAAGTAAAGGAAAGGAAAAAGAGAAGAGGGGAGAAAAATGCAAGAGGTGGGTGGGAGGGGAGAGAGAGCGAGCAAGCACAATGGTGCTTGTTAAGCCCTTCACAGATTTTGCTCTCTCACACACGTGTTACTTCACACTTTGGCACAGTCTGCTGGAAGAGTTTTCAGGCCTGAGATGTTTCTGAAAGGCTGTATTATCTCTAAATAATACTATTTCTTCACCTAGGTATGGAAAAAAAATGCTGTAAGCTTTACATCGCTTTCACACGTAAGTGAACAGGACAATTTTAGCACCTCTGAAAATATCAAAAATTCATTAAGGAATTATGATTTAGCAACAGGATGCTCAAGTTTGACAAGGAAAGAACTTCAAAATGATAGTGTCATGCAGGCAAAACACTGTCATTGCAACACAGCTGTTTAGAACTAAGACTCTGAAATTTACATGGTAATGGACTTTACCACTAATTTCAAGTGCCATTTTCATCTTAGAAAAGAAAGGTGTGTTTTGACGGGTTTTTAATTATTTTAAATAAAGTGTAAAAATAAAAACTACAGTAAATATCAGGGATTAGCAGGGACAACTGTAAGCTAATAATTTTTGTGTTTGCTTTCCCAAATACCACTAAAGTTTAAGTCACTTTCCGTAATATTCAAGTTGTCAAGAAAAATCTTGTGGTTTTGTTCCAAAGGCTTTTGACACATAAAAAATCACATGTTCTCCCCCAAGCTTTAAGTGCAAAAGAGATGTCCACAAATTTGCATGAATCCAATACTAAACTAAAACCAACATCCTAAATTGAGGTAGCACATTCAACAAAGTTTCTTTCCAAAAACTTCAGAAAGAAACTGAAAAATTGTAAGAGTAATGTCTCTGTCAGCAAGCATCAAAACCTTTAGCGACTGATGGATTGAGCATATTAGGAGCTTGGAAGTTCTTCTTTAACTCTTCTTTTTTTCTCAAAAAAATACTGTTTAGTCCATGCACCTTTAGGTCCTGTGGCATCTATTGCAACATCAATAATGGAATCTGGAGTCATCCACCTCAAAATCACCAAGAGAAGGAAGTTCAGAACAGCCAAAAGAGCAAAAATACACCCAGTCACTGGGCCACAGTGAGACATTAGCCTGTCGAGTCGCTCATCCATTGGTAAGACCACTTCATTTGCAACCCTGTCATACACCTAAATGGAGAGGAGACAGAAAATAAGATCTTAAAACAATGTTGCTTCTACCTCAAAAATCAGACAGTATTTTGCTGTCAGTATGCAAAATAAATTATCTATTCCTAACTACTAGATGGGACAAATATTACCCAAAAAAGCTTTACAGATTTTAAGTGCTGATTTGTGACTGTTCTAGAAACTTCATTAATTTATTTAAAGAGATACAGGAAAAGAAATGTCCTGGTATTTCGACAGACTTCAGGAGTATTTCATTGAATAGGAAGGCTGCACAATTTGTCTATCATCCAATATTATATAGAAAGGGTTGGGGTTTTTAATTAATTGAATGGGCTCTAATCTCATATTCGTATCAGTCATAAGAAGAGCCTGAACAAGTAATTACTACATTTTAAACACAAAGATGGATCAACTCATAGATGAGTTGGGAATATTCCAAATCTCTGTGTTTGAACGATCAAGCAAATCACAATACGCAACTCATAGATGAGTTGGGAATATTCCTAATCTCTGAATTTGAACGATCAAGCAAATCACAACACACTACTGATTTTTATTTAAAGACACACTAGTAGTTCTCAGTAAAATTAAAAATCAATTAATGTGAAAAGGAAATACATGATACTTGTGACTTTAATATACATTTTAACCACAATCAAACTACTACAAACAACTCAAAAAAGACTTGCAGGACATGAGTTTTTTCCTCAAGAACATTACAGAATTCATCCTACTGTAACTTAACAATGAGCTAACAAACAACTGTTGTTCGTACAATGTAAGTCTCATCTGTACTTCTTCCAATTATACAAACACTTTCGTTCACACAGTTTGGGTGGGTTTTTTTAAGAATGGGCAATATAAAAGCAAACTTCTATAAAAACTTTGCAATTGAAATGTTGCTTGGAGTTACGAAATCATAACATGAATTGTACTAACAGCACTGCAAAAAAGTGCATAAACCAGTTGTACATGATACTTTGAAGAGATATATATCTGAGTGCACCACAGTGTAATCAACAGGTATGTGGTTCAGCTCCTCTCTCTTGTCTAAAACACAAGAGCTGAAGTCAGAAGCAACAGATCTCCACAGGTGTTTATAACATTACTGCAGTCAACATTCTTCACTAATGGCACAGTCGTTATATTGAAGTGCAGTTCTGATTCTGAAATATGATTTCAAAGCTGTGATGATTTGTTTTCATTACAACTAGAGCTTATGTAAATTCAGCTATGTTCAGCCTTCTGGCATTAAACTACCTTTCAGAATTTTAAACCACTTGCTAGCATGTGGCAGACAAAACTTGGTCTTACCCTTTTCATACATCTTATACAGCATGTTTGCCAGTTATGCCAGAGAAGTTACTTCATGTGAAGACTGAAAAAAATACATGAGTGGAAATCTAACAAATGATCTGCACTGTTTATCATGCAGATCTTTATCAGCAGTTATGGTATAATAAAAAATACAAATAGAAAAAAACCACCATATCTAAGGATGTATTTGAGGAAAACAAAAAGGGTTTTCTGAACCTTTTAAAACCATGTATGTTTGAGTGGAAACATGCTGAAAAATTACACTGGAAGATTACACAGAGAATGTACACAGTAATGTTTCAAAGTAACAGCTGTTTCAGAAATGTACTTTGAGCGAATTTAAAAGAAGTGGTTATACATACTTTCTCAGTTCTCTCTGCTACATTCCTCCATGTATAAAATGTCTTCACTTTATTATGAACTGTTTCTGGAGATGGGAGTGTTCCTGATCTGAGCTGGGCAATAGCTTTTTCCAATCCATCACACAAAGATTTCACAGAGGGCTCACACAAAATAATGAGATTTTCTGGAAGTACCTCAGGAATCCCACCAACTCTTGTACTCACCACCTTTGAAAGAAACAAAAGAAACAGCACATATGCAGCATAACAGAGAAACTGTGTGATGACAATGCTATTGCTTTGTTTAGATGCAGCACAGGAAAATAACATGCTTTGGGAATTACACCTGTATGTGAACCAAAGGTGTAGGCCCCAGGAAAGATTTAGCATAGCATTAAAGGTAATCACCTTTAATGATGCCCAGAACAGTTCTTTGGTGGTAATGATAAAACAGAAGACTTTTCCAAGTGCCTTGTAAAAACCGTTACCTCTATTTGGAGAGGGCAGTTTTACCATTTTCACCTTCAGTTTATGTTTTCTAGGCTACTGAACATTTGTGAGAATTTATTCACAAGTTCAGTAATTTTAATCTGAATTGTAAGAAAACAAATGCCAGTTCTTGGTGCAGGAAGAAAACGGAAATTCAGCATGCCTGACTGACCAGTCACCCATGCTCATGTGCCATTTTTCTGCAGGTCACAAATTCAGCATGCCTGACTGACCAGTCATCCATGCTTGTGTGCCATTTTTCTGCAGGTCATCTCAAAGAAGAAAGTAAACCTTTGTGAACATCAACTACCCCAAAACTCTGTAAATGAGAGCTTAAGCAGTTTCAATTAGCCCTTCTGTTTCAGCTTCCAAGTGATCTGTAAATGGGGCTAATATTTTCTTACCTTTGTAAAGACAGAGCCTGATGAAATCAAGTGTTACAAGCACGTATTATTTAATTGTGAACTTTGTTCAAAATGGATACATGCTCTCCAGGTAGATGAGATTTTGGAAGGTTTTTTTACCTGTAAACCACAGCTTGCTGCTTCCACAATAGCCATACAAAAGGCCTCAGTGAGGGACGTGTTGAGAAATATGTGTCCCTGGACTAGGACATTTCTAACATCCTGGTGCTCCAAGGCTCCTAGAAGACGTACCCTGCATACAAGAGGAAAATAAACAAAAAAAACAGAGATAAACACTGAATTTGAACTGTAATAATGCTGACACATATTCTGAAAAAGATACCAATGGTTCACACTTCTATAGTGAGAGAATGAATACAGGCACCTTATTTCAGTTTTCTCTAAATTTTTCCAGCAATGAATAGGAGATTTTTATTTTCACACTGAAAGAAACTTCTGAAAATAAAGTAGCTGTTTTAATGACAACTGCCTTCAAAACATTGCTACTGAGCTTTCTAATTCAGTTACTAATTCAGACTTGCCAGATGCGTTATCTGAATTTTCAATGTGAGGTCAGATCAATTTGAGTCTGAGGGGGCAAAATGTATTTAGGATACAATGATCAGGACCTATTATTTTGAAGAGACAGTAGAAAACAGTAAAGGGTAAAATGAGAATGATACTACCAAATAATTTTATTGGGGGAATCATTGACTGAAGTGCAAAATAGGCAACAAAAAGCCTAGAAAAAGAAAATTAAGAACATAAAACTGTCTTGAACAAGAAAACCTCAAA